CGGAGACCGATTTCTGAACCAACAGTGGCAAAATAGCCTGCACTTTGTTTACGTCCCGTTGGCTAGCTGACAGCTGTTGTGGTGCTTTCCAACGCAAATAGCATACATGTTTCCGGTGGTTGCACAGAGCGTTGTAAACTTTAAAACGAGTTTCCTGGGTGTCGAGGATGGGATGTTTTGTTGAATGAGGAGGACCCGCTTGATGCCGACAGGAGGATGAACTCTATCACCGGTCGGGTTCTCGCCATCCCCGCCGCCTCTGTCACCAACTCTGGAGCTTCATCCTCTCGAGCCTTACATGTAGAGCTCACATCACAGCAGGTAAATGCAGAGCCTCTGAGCTCATGCTGATATCAGCTGTATTGAAACGAAAATAGGAAAACGTGAACCGGTCAGCCCCAAGATGTTATGCACTAGTTTCCAGCGTGAGTTTTCTTCTACCTTGAAAAGCAAGACAGGCCCGTCAGGCTAGCTAGTTAGCTAGCTAAACTGCTAGCTTGCAGTTAGCTCGCTCTCTGTAGATTTTCGGAGCTGGACTGACAACACAAAGTAACTAAAACCAGTAAGCCTGGTGTTAGGCATTTTAACCCCAGTTTTTCAGTGTGTCTTCTTATTTTGGGTGTATCATTCTACACCTTTAGTTGTGCACGAAGCTAGTATGCTTCTGCTAATTGTAACTTGTGACAGCTCAGTTGAGGGGAAACCATGCCATATGTCATTACAGTAGTGGTGTATTTGTCATAATATAGAGACTTTAATGTGATACGGACAATAAGTAGACCGGTAACTAATTTCATTTAAGATAGGGATTCTTTGAAAGCCTGTGCAATAATTTTAATTAATCCACCCATTCATTCATTCACTCATCCTTTGATTCATTTGGAAACGGTTGACAGTTCATTCGTTAAGGTTACTGCTTCACACAGGCACACATTACCCCCCTGATCATGTTGTGCTGTGGATGTATTGATTATAGGCGACGAACACTATCCACTTTGATACAGTAGATGGCTCTATCACGTCCTATTAGGCACTGTGCTGACTTGTCATGCAAATATTTATAAAGAATGTGTTGAGGTTTCAAGATAACATATATATACACCTATGATTTTGTTGGAGTCACCACAGTATCACGGAGGTGAACAGACTTTAGTTTGTGGTTCCAAAAGCACTAAAAACATACAATTGAAAAACATTTCATTTACCTCCACCTCTGTTGGCTGACTAGCAGAAGCCTCAGAGACAAGGATCTCAAGTGGATAAAAAAATATTTGCATGACTTGATACTATTAGTGTTGGTAAATAAAAAGTGCCTTTTGTAATTCTGGTGTCTTGACCCTTTTATCTCGTTTTATATTGTTTTTGTATGCTTTGTCATATGATCGATCTGTGGCCACATGGATTTTGGCAGTGCAGTTCTTACTGGTTGCATTTTGGTGATTAGAGAAATGAAGCTTTTTTTTTTTTTTAATTTTTTTTAGCTGTGCCTTTGTTGGAAACTGTCATATCGGCTAATATGCTATAGCTGTTAAACTGTAATTTATTGATTGTATATTTTTGCTACCTGATGGAACTTTGTCCCAGCAGCATCGTTCTACTGGTTCACTGTATCAGATACACAGAGAGCTAAATTCACTAGAGATGATTGCTGTTGGGAGTTTGCATTGAGGACTTATGAAATCCTATATGACAGGTGTTACTATTATTTTGTCTGCCCCACTTGTATCACCTCTCTGCATAGTTTTGTACAGTTCAAGAGCACCACAAATGACAAAATGAGCACACAGTTGAATCAACACCACCCAGAGACACCTTTAACAGACACTTGGCCACTTTCTTTCTAGATTTGAGTTAATCCAGTCCGGTTTCTAAAGAAATGGAATGTCTGTACAGTATGAATTACAGAAGGCTTGTGACCAGCTAATCACTTTATCATATACCACTATTACACTACTTTGACCCTTTTAAGTTTAGAGCTGACCCTGACTTTGTTCTTTGTCTGAGCTTGCAGATTCTACAGTAGGGACTTTGATATGAATGTATATCTATTATGGATAATGCAACCCAGTAGTGTCACAAGTGTGCTCAAAACCATTTCTCTCTGCCTGTGGTCTACATTAGTCCATTTAGAAATGTGCATTAATATTTTTAGGAGGGTTGAAAGTTAAAAGTCATTTGTGGAACAATTAGTGTTTTTATTTCTGGGACCTGTGTTCTCATAGGGAATCCCATGACTTAGATTTAATCCCAGTGTGGAGCAAGGCTGTGTACACTGATCAAGGCAGAATTTCTGCTGTGGTAATGTTCTTGGCTGAAGTGGGAACTTGCTAAATGCCAGCCCTGTTCCTTTTGTGTGTCCACAGGTATCATTTAATTTATGTCAATGTTTCCTATTAAATATTAGATATTTACTAAACCACCACCTTCTGTATTAAGGTTTTTGGAAGGAGGTCTGTCCATTACTGTAATTTTCAAATAAAGCAGATGTTAAGTGATAATGGATTGGTTTGGACAAGTGTCATTTAAAATGCTGATTTGTGTTAACTGTGCATCACTGGAGTGCTGGCTTTTGTTTACTGTGGAAAGTCACGTTTATGAACGATGCTTTCTGCAGCTGGCCCATTGTAAAAACCTTGACATATAGTTTTCACATCAGTATCATGACTAACCATGTCTTAAAAATCAACTGGTCACTTTTGTCCTGTCTGTTATTTGAATTCCTGACATGCAGACTGTCCCAGCTGATGTTGCCTTTGTGTACAAGAACTAACTACTATTTTAGGCTGCTTAAACAGTACATAGGATGGCCAATGTGATACCTCACTGATCCCTATAGGCATTTCTCTTAACTCATTTTGGGACCCAGTCAGGGTTCTGTGTCTTCACAATATCACAACATCATCACATGATTGGACTGATGCTGAACAGCTCTGCTATCTCTTATTTGTTCTCAGTGTCCTCACTCTTTCTCTATCCCCTGCCAAGCAGAGACGATTGCGTCATCTCCGGAGCATTGCAGCCAGAAACATTGTCAACAAGAATGGTTCCCCACTGCTGGACACTTACTTCACCCTCCACCTCTGTATAGCAGACCGCATATCTAGAGGTGAGTGTTGCCACCTACTCCAGAAACAGCAGCCACTATGTCATGAGTCTGTGTGAGTGCTGACAGTGCTTAACATTGCTTATCTAGACTCTCACATGTAGGACATGTAAACCTATATTATACTCTACATACAGTATATGCTATAGGTGTCACTTTTCATTCGAATTTCAAACATTTGTTCAAATGTGGTTAAAAATCTTTCGAAGTGTAATGACCTGTTTGAATCCAACAATGTGCACTATGTCAATAAGCACAACAGGCGGTTTGATGTAATTTGCCTTGCGGTCCAGCAGAGAACATTCTTAAAATTCAATATCAGCTTGACCAGTTACATGTCCTGTTGACCTCACAGTAAAGTAAGCTAGTAACCATGGCCGTAGTTATGGCAGGGACAGTAGGGACATGTCCCTACCGCTTTTTTGATTAGCTAAAATTGTCCCTACTGCTGTTCTGATATTAATTGCATATGCATACTTTTTCCGTCAGGTCTACAAAGGCTTAAGTTTGTTCATGCTTACATTACAGTCACAAGAAAAAGTAACAGCACTGTTAGCAGTTTTCCGCATAAATTGGTCATGAAATGTGATCTGAGCTTCACCAAAGTCACAAATATCAACAAACAATATTTATCAGCTGATAAAACACAAACAGTCATGATGTTTCATGTCTTTATTGAACACCGATTTAAACATACAACATGATGGTGGAAAAAAGTATTGTCAACAGTGCTTTAATAACTGGTTGAACCATTATTGGCAGCAATAACCTCAACTAAGCACTTCCTGTAGCTGTGGATTAGACCTGCACAATGTTCAGAAGGAATTTTGGACCATTCTTCCTCACAGAACTGCTTCAGCTCAGCCATATTCTTAGGATGTTAGTGTTACCACAGAAGAGTGGAGCAGCGTCCGTCCTTCTGTTTGTCCACCATGACTATGTCCCTGCCTCTCTTTATCTTGTATTTAGAGCCTGTTCCTGTGCTGCCAGTATTAGTGCTTCTGTGCTGTCTTTCAGTCCAGCTTTGTCCAGCCACTGATAGCATTTTTCGATATCAGCCACTTCATATATCTGATGGTGGTACATACCGTGCAGAGGTTTGTCCTTCCATGATGGTTCCTGCTCTTGCTTCCCTTGTTCTTTTGGTTGCTGCTGCCTGCGGTATTCACTAAGCACGTCATCAATCAGGGCCATCTGCCTGATGTATTCATGGATCTTTGTTGTTTCATCCTGGATAATGGCTCTGACGCTCACTAATCCTCAGCCTCCTTCCTTCCGCTTAGTGTACAGTCTCAGGATGCTGGACTTGGGGTGAAAGCCGCCATGCGTTGTAAGGAGCTTCCTTGTCTTGATTTCAGTGGCCTCTATCTCCTCCTTTGGCCAGTTTATTATGCCAGTGGAGTACCTGATCACTGGCAGGGCGTAGGTGTTAAATGCCCGGACTTTGTTTTTTCCATTCTCAGGACTTTCCTTACTCTCTACAGGTACTTGGTAGTTGATACTTTCCTTGCGGTCTCTTCATGGTTCTCCTTTGCCTGCGGGATCCCAAGGTACTTGTAGCTGCCCTCAACATCTGCTATGTTGCCTTCTGGTAGTACAATCCCCTCAGTTCTCACTACCTTCCTTCTCCTTGTTACCATTTGACCACACTTATCCAGTCCCGAATGACATTCCGATGTCCTGGCTGTAGATCCTAGTGGTGTGGATCAGTGAGTCGATGTCTCGTTCCCTCCTGGCATACAGCTTGATGTCATCCATGTAGAGGAGGTGGCTGATGGTTGCTCCATTTCTTAGTTGGTATCCGTAACCGCTCT